TAGTGTCTTGTTCCTATTCCCTGAGTGAGAAGGACTCCCAGGAACAAAGCTCCAGAGTCCTCCCTCCTCAGGGAAGGGAAAGCAAAGACCAGATCAGAGAGACAAGGCAGCAGGAAGACTGGCGACCCCTACAGCAAGCAGAGGCACAGTGCACTCCTGGGCTCCCTCAGGCAGGACGCCGTCCACTCCCTGAGCACTTCCTCATACCCGGACAGCTGGACGGTTCCTCCTTTCTGTGAGTCAGACGGCTGCCCTCTGAGGTGGTGGGGAAAAGGTGCAGGTGGCTGAGGACCTGAGGCGTGTGCTCGCTCCTTGGGCAGGATTTTCATGGTGCAGGGATGAAAGCGGCAAGGAGGACAGACAGGCCAGAGGGATGCAACTCTGGGAATCCAGCCAGGTGTTCATTCCATCAAGACTTCTGTTCAGTGATCGTCAAGGTGTGAATTCCCATTTCCAGAAAGCCCCAAGGATGAAAGGATTTGTTTATGTATTTATTCTTATTCATTTACTCACTCATTTTCCTCCAATGGTTTTTAGTATAGTCACAAAGTTGTATAACTAGTCATTTCAGAACATTTTCATCACCCCCCAAAGAAACCCCAACCCATTAGCAGTCAATCCCAACTCCCCCACTCCTTCTCCAGTCCTTCAGTTCTAAGGTCTGGCAAGGCTACTTCTGCCATGTTCAATGGCAGAGCACTCATTGCAGAATAAAACATTAAAGAAGCAAAGAGATGCCAGAGAAGCAGAGAACAGCAATTTCCTGTAGGATCTGTTGGGAGCCTGAACAAAAAACCGAAAAGAAGTCCTGACTTGTCTGGCTGATGACTTCCTCTCTCAGAGACTAGAGCAAAGCAATAAGGCAGTTTAACTGAATAAAATGGGTGGCTGGAACTGGCTGGAACAGAGTCACCATACCCTGACAGCCAGGGAGAAGTCCGAATACAGGCAGCCACCTACCTCAGAACTCACAGAGGCAGAAGTAACTCCATGACATGGGAAATGGGCTCAAATTTCATAAACTACAGGACATAGAAAAATATACCAGATGCTCAGCTAAGAAGCTGTGGTTCGACATACAGGACAGCTGTTATATAGTATCTGAGGGCTGTCGCATGAGAGACAAGACTTATTCTATAGGACCCCAAGGGCCACACATGGTACCAACAAGTGGAAAGTCACAGGAAGAAAGGGTATTTCAGATCATTACCAGGAAGGATTTCCCAATAGTCACACAATCTGAAGGCCGAAGGGCTGCCTGTCAGGTAGAAAGTTAAAGTGCAATCTGGATATTCAATAAGCAGACACTGGAGAAGTAATCTGAAAAGCAGAGGGTAGTGTGACAACCGTGACGTTCCCACACTTGACTGGTGAGGTCAACCGTGAGGTGTGTGGTGAGTGATCTGCTACAGCCATCAAACACTGCAGCGTGTGATTTACTGGTTTTAGGTGCTGCATAATCATTATGACACCAGTCTTTCTCATTTGCTCTTTTAAATATTTTCTTCAGCTAAGCTGAAAGACTCCATGTTAAAGTTGGCGGGCTGGTAATGCTCACAGGAATGTTGTCCTCGAGTGTTTATGGGGCCCTCGAGAGTGTTCATGGGGTCCCTGAGTGTGTTCACAGGCTGTAAGAAGCGGGGAACTACCAGGCGAGATGACTGGCAGAATCTCTCCCAAGGCCGATATCCCTCAAAGGGAGAGGGCACCCCCTCCTCAGCCTCCCAACCTGACCACAGCCTACTGGGGAGCAGGTGTCATAGCATTTCTGCAGGATTCATCGCAGATTGTAATGCCTAAATCTCATACCTATGGGAGAGATACTGGTAACAAGTCCTAGGGGGCCTCTGAACTCTACAGAAAGGGAGGGTAAGGACAAAATAAGTTACTTCGGTCTGTGTGTTTCATTTTCACAGAAGAGTCATTCAGACTATTTCAATGGGACCAAAGGCAAGGGCCTTTACGTTTTCTTTACATAAAAACAGTTACAGATGATGTACATATGCCCAGAAAACATCACTTGCTTTTTGAAACATTAAACAGTTTTTCCTCTAAGCAAGAACTGACACGAACTGTTAACTAACGGAACCTGAACTTAGCCAACCTCTCCCCAATCCAAACTGGAATTGACTTTCACTTTTCATCCCCCTGGATAAATGGCCTTGGCAGAAACTGCTGTCACAAAGGCCAACTGTAGAAGTGCCACCAAAAAAACACTTGACTGCCCAACTCAGGTCTTTTCGGACTCTTCCCTGACTCCTTTCCATGTCCTTTTTCTGCTGCTCTGCCAAATGACGAGACGTTCCTTACTCCTCTGGCATGCAGGAGTAGCGAAGCAGATGGAAGGTATCTCATCACCTGGGATGGTGGCTACTGGGCAGCCTGTGATTTCTGGCACCTCATAATTTTTTTTATTACAAAATTTTTTCATTATAAAGCTATTATTACCACATTATGAAAATCTGGAAACTAGGGAAAAGGGAAAAATCACTTATGGTCCCATCATCCTAAGAAAATCACCCTTTGCGTTCTGCTGCATTACCTACTCGTCTTCACAGCTCTCTGGATATAACGAGATGGACCGCACACATTTAGCCCACCTGTCCCCCACCTCCTCTGCAGAGCATCTGCAGCAGCTTACATATACTGTCTGAGCTACCAGGGAAACCCAAACACATGTCATCAGGCAGCAATTCCATATAGACATGCTCTCTCTGAAACCAGCTTGTCCTCCTCATTTCCCAGTTTCCACCATGTAGACTCCATATCCTCATCATCCAGGTTGGAACTTTTGCCCCATCTTGGATTCCCCTCCCTCCATTCCAACACCCACCCCCATTGATCTTCTGTCATTACTGCTTTTTCCACAGCTGTCCTCCCCACCCCCATTAATAATAATGCCAGCATCTCCAGTCCAGGCTTCCCTGGTGGCTCAGATGGTAAAGAATCTGCCTGCAATGCAGGAGACCCAGGTTCCATCCCTGGGTCAGGAAGATACCCAGAGAAGGGAATGGCCACCCACTCCAGTATTCTTGCCTGGAGAATTCCATGGACAGAGGAGCCTGGAGGGCTACAGTCCATGGGGTCGCAAAGAGTGAGACACAACTAAGCAACTAAGACTTCTCTCCTCTCCAGTCCAGGCACTTCAATCTGTCTCTCTAAACGATCACAGTGTTTCTCGGCTCCTACTTCCTCTCCTTTTCCTCTACCTTGCACTGCTAAACGACTTCCCTCACTGGGACTGCTTTCCCCGAACAGCAGTTTGAAAATAATTGGTTTTCGATGGTCTGATGAAGCATATTCTTTGGAATACGCTGGAAATTTCTAAACATGTACAACTTGTCCCTAGTCAACCCTTCTGGCCCCATCTTTTGCCATTTTCCTACACAAAGCCTCTGCTGGTAACCTGGTGCCCTAGACACGACACGTAGCGTGTGGAGTGACGGGGGCAGGACACGCGCCTGCTCCCCGGCATCCCCGCGAGGGGAATACAGTGCAGGCCAGCTCAGACAGGGGAGATGGGGATCAGGCCCACCTTCCCACCATTAACTACTACAGAAGCAGCCAAAGTAAATGAAGCAACAATTTCCAAGCATTTGGCTAGAAATAGAGCAGGGCCGTGAACCTGGAGAAAAAGGAAATACAGGAAGTGAGGTCCAGTGTCACTGGGCTTTCTGCCTGGGGACGCTTTTCAGCTGGGGCTCAGGGGAGTGGATGTGAGTGTGAGAAGGCCCAAGCCTTCGCATGTAGCAAAGATTGCTCAGATACAAGAAACTAATGTGCTATTTGCTTTTTTAAGTAGGCTGCTCTAACTTGGGACTGTAAAAATATGTAATTTGTCTGATATTCCCATGAGACCTTTCCTCTCTCTTTATCCTTTATCGTCCTTTCAGTTTCCTATGGTTGAAAACACCAAGCAACATGACCCAGAATCTCAAGGAGAACTCTTACTAGAAGATGAGAGCATTTCTGGGCAGTGGTATTTTCTGTCTCTCGGCTTTCCATCTACTGAGAGCCTCCCTGTCTATTATAGAGAAGAGACAACACACTGAACCCATGGAGTTCTGGATATTAATGGAATATGTGAACATCTCTTTAGGGTTTGCAAAGACCAGGTCCCTGGGCCACCAATACTCTGCAGCCTATTTAAGCCCCAAAGGTGGATACCATCATGGGCAGGCTGGCCAAAGCCATGCTGGAGAATGACTTATGCCACAGCAGTCACCAGACACCCTTTTCCCCACCCCAGAGCAGGGCAGGAAGCAGCATGAGAAGCTGGAGCAGCACATGGTGGTGGTTGGGGGAGGGGTGTCAAGGGTTGGGGTGCAGAGAGGAAAGCTAAGGTGTGGCCCTTGCTCTTTTCCCTCTTGTGGGAGGGAAACTTCTGAATAGGGAATAGCACCCCAGCGTTAAGAAGCAGATGGCTAGGTTTACTCTTCTCACACCTCACACACTTTCCCTTACCGCTACTGTAGTTTTCAAATTCTACTTTTTCCTGCCTATCTCTGTCCCCAAAGAAGGTGTCAAGAGCCCCTAATGGCTGCCTTCCACAACCTGCTGGGCAAGTTGAGGACCCTTGCCAAGCAGCACTGGCCTTGGGGGGCTTCCTCAGAGGGGCTGTCCTGGTACCCTGCTGAGCCTGGAATCGCCGCCGTGTGTCGTTCGGTTCAGGTGAAGAACTCCGTGCTTCTCCGAGGCAGGGCTCAGGGGCTTCTTCTCTAACACGCCATGCCCACACTGGCACTTTCTGCAGGGCCAGGCCTGAAATCAGTTCTTCTGCCCTCCCTGCTGCCCCTTCTGAGGCCTGAGGAGGATCCCATAAGAGGACATTTCTTATTCCCACCTCTCACCAAAGTCGGCTCAGGAGCACAGTCTTGAGGTCACATACTTGTGGAGGCTCGGTGGCCGGGGGCAAGTTCAGGGACAGAGCAAACCTAATCCTGCATGTTACACTGTGCGCCCCTGCCTGCCACCCAGAGTGTACAGAAATCCCATCCTACCATCAGCGAGGGACTTGCAGGAGAGGGCGTCATCGAGGTCTCGGGCGGTTGATGGGTCAATGGTGAAGATACAGTCTTTTCTAGGAAAGATTGAAGACGTAATTAGCAAGGCCACAAATAACCGAAACTTGAACCCACTGGAGTGCAACTTTAAAGAACAGTTATTTTGCAAATGTATAAATAGTAGGTGAAGTGGGGCGGGACTTCTCTCTTGTCTCTCTGAGAAGGGGATCTTTAGTAAACTGGGAACTGGGGAGGCTAATGAGGCTCTGTACTGTCTCTGAGGGCCCTTCTCCTCCTCTCTGTGGCCTGGCCCCTCTTCTTGATCCTGAGAAACAGGCGCAGGCACGTGGAGGTGAGGCAGCCTCTGGAAGTAAGGCTTCCCAAGAAGTCCATCTGAAGAGGGGCAAGTCCCTTCAGTAAATTAACTCTCTGATGGTCCGTCCTTTCTTTGCCTCCCTTTTCCTCAATGGCTGATGGGAACCTGTCCTTAAGGATAATATGAGCAAGATTTACTGAGCCTTCTCCAGCCTTGCAAAAGCAGGATGTGCCTAAGAATAAATGGCCTGACTCGTGACACAGGGATGAACCCCAGGAGTACGTTCTATGAAAAGCTCTGGGCCCATTTAGTTGGCCACGATGCAGTTCTACTTAGAAATGGCCCTAATCACAATTTTTTTTTCCTTGAAATAATCGTATACTTCCCCTAAGCTCATACACTTAAGTACACCCCATGCCTATTTATCACCACACACAGTATCCCTGTGCACATCTCATTCCTAATCTGTGAAGCCCCTGGACAGTCTCATTTTGCTTTAGAATTTTCCAAGTAACATGCCCCACCCAACCCAGCCATTCCTACCATGTACACATCTAAGATTTGGGCAGTCCTTAGTTCCCCACACCACCCACCCCATCTACCCAGGCACTGGCCTGGAGGTTGGGGTGTATGGCAGGAACCACCCTCCCTTCCCCACAGGTAGGCTATTTTAGTCAGCACTCCCCACTCCCACCGGACTCTCCTCCAGAGGTAATGAGTACATCCTGATGGGAAGTAATGCATGCAATCTGACAGGAAGTAATGAATGCATCCTGACAGGAAGTAACGAGTGCAACCTTATGGGAAGAGACAACAAGGTGAAATTAATCCCAATACTATGGCACTGGGCTCTAAATTGGTGAGGCTCTTGAACTTGATTCACAAGGTAAAGAAGGATCTGTCTGTTTCTTGTTCCTTTTTGTATCCTCCATAAAAGTCAGCAAACTGCACTGTAAATCCTGAGTACTCAATAAATACTTTTTTAATTGAAACTGAAATGTCCGACTTGGTGGTGGGAAAGTTTGGACCCACCTACAATCACCGTAAGGGCAGCATAAGAAACTAAAAGAACGGTCCTCTAGTCAAAATAAAAAAGAACATTCTGGTAGCTTGACAGGGGCCACAGTTTACTGGTTTACTCAGAGATTCAACTGGGAAGTTAAGTTTTCTTAAAATCAAATGTCTCTAGGTGCTTTGAGAATTTTATTTCTATGAAAGATAAGGCTCACTAAAACATTTCCAGCCTCAAACTGATTCAGCCATATGGGACAGAATAAAACTTTAAGGCTTCAATTATTAGTATGTAAATGTCTGAGAAGGCCCACACATCCTTTGAGAAAAATCTTAAGACTAGCCCATAAGCATTCAAACCAATGCTCCATTACACTTTTTCAAGAAAATCTACTCTTAAACCAGAAAGATAAAAGTCTGAATGAAAACAACTCTGAGGAATGGTATTCAAGAAGGCTTGCTGGAAGACGTACCGTCCAAACAGTATCTTGATCAGGGTTTGGCCAACTACAGCTCTCAGACCAAACTGGGCTTGCCACCTGTTTCTGAACAGCCTGCAAGCTAAGAATGGCTTTTGTCTTTTTAAATGATTGAAAAAGAAATAAGAAGAAAAACGTTATTTCATGGCATGTGAAAATTGTATGAAATTCAAATTTCAGCATACAGAAATGAAGCTTTATCAAAACATCATCAAGTTTTCAGGATACGATGGCAGAGTTGAGCTGGGTACTTTTGGCAGGGGCTGTGTGCTAAACTGTCTGACCCTTAGCAGAAAATGTGCTGATCTTTGTTTTAGATCAAATCAAAGTGTTAGTCACTCAGTTGTGTCCAATTCTTTGTGGACACATGGACGGTCCCATGGACTGTATCCCGCCAGGCTTCTCTGTCCATGGGATTTCCCAGGCAAGAATACTGGAAATGGGTTGCCATTTCCTTCAGTGTTTCCAAAATAAGTGTTTTAATTTTTTTTAAAGGTCTTATAATTAAATCAGTTTGGTAAATGCTGAGCCGATTTTTTAATTGGAGAACTTCTCAGAGCCTTCAACATGCTGGAATTGCATAATCCTTGCCAGACTCATTTGATCTTAGTACTTTTTTTCGTGGCAGAGAATCTCCCAGATTTGAGGGGTGATAAATGCACCCGTGAGATACCCGTCACAGTGGAATCTTGTCATACAGGGCCTCACCACCAAGCCTACCCCATGAGATACCACAAGAAGTCAACCAAATGGCTACGCTATTCACTGCAGGGAAGCCGGTGAGGGCCTTACTCATTTACTCAATTCAGTGCCCCTTTCATGAGCACTTATACAACAAGTTTACGCAGTGCAAAGACTCCCTCTTCTTCTCCTGAGCTGATGGTCTGCCTGTACCTCACACACACGTGTGAATTTTATCCTTTTTAAGTTTCCTTCTTTGCTCTGGCTGCTAGGAAACTCAGAAAAAAACATGGTTGATCTGTTTCAAGAGAATCTTATTTACAATTTGAACTTTATGAACTAGTCTTTATCCTGGGTGTGCCTATTCTCCTATTCATATATTCCTTTTGCCCTGAAACCTGATATAAAAGTCATTTGCTGCATTATATGTGTATCTGCAAGTGGTCTTAAATCATTAAAAAAAAAAAACCCAGCATATAAAAACATATGCACATATATTGAGGGGTTACAACATTTGAAATCATGTGTTGAAGGGGTGCTGGAAGAAAAGAGAGACAGGCAGTCTAGGCTACTAACAGAACTAACTTCTAGGGAGAGTAAAACTCGGAGAGCTCCCGGCCAGTATCTGCACTGTAGCAGTGGACTCCAAGCTTGCTCTCTCACTATGGAAAATTGGGAGAAGCGAGGGAACAGTGAGTGACCCTGACAAACCCCAGTCCTCAGTGCTGAGAGCCAGTGATTTAATCTGTTGTCATCGCCACAATTATGACTCGGCCACGATGTGGTGCAGGAGGGCTCCTCCTGGTTGCGGGCCACAGTGGCTGGGAGCTGCTGGCCTCGGCCCTGGGAGCCCAGTCCTGCAGGGGCGGTGCTCCGCGCAGCTGTTACACTCGGTTAGCATGCTTGGGATTGTACTGGCTCCTCTTCTGGAAGCCTTTGGTCTCACAACCTGCAGGGAGCAGCCTGGCCTGCCAGCTTTTAGAACCTGTGAGACCAAATATTTAAAGAGTTCCGCAACAATGGTTAGAAAGAAACTAACCCTGACCCACAGAAAATCAAGTGCCAGGTGGGGGAGGGAGAGAAGGAGGGCTCCAGTGCATGAGGCTGCAGAAACCCAATCCGGAGCCGGGTTATGTAACCAGCTTCTGAAGGCACGTGACTCAAAGGCTTAGTCGAACTTTTTAAAGTGACAGAAAACCTCGAAGACTGTTTTGCTCAAAGCCATTGGTCCTGGAAAAGAACACATGAAGAATAACTAGAAGCCTTCTGCAGTCTCTTACGACCTGGCCAAGGATCCCAGGAAACAACAGAAGCATAGAAAGAACCTCTGCTTCTGTCACTCACATGCTCTTCGTCTGACCTTAAGTCCTAGTCCTCCTCAAGGCACCCATCACTCTGCCTCCTTGCAGCTGGAAGCAGCTGTCCAGTCTCCACGGCAACACTTACTCACCACATTGTCACCATTTACCTCCCTGGATCCAGGCCGTGGCCCCTACCACATCACAGAAACTGTTCTCCCCAAGGTCATGGTTGCTGCCAGATTAATCATCTTAGAGCATGAGTCTGGTCAAAAACCTTCATCAACTCCTTACTGAGGAAAAGAGAAATGCAGCTTAGAATTCAAAGCCTTCCATGACATGGCCCCCACTTGTATTTTTCTAATCAGGCTGCATACTCCCAATGTGTACCTTACGTGCCCACCTTTTCTCTACATCTTCTGGTCCCTCAGACACTGGTGGTGAAGTTCCTAACATTAGGACATTTATCCCACTGGTCTCCAATGCCTAAGACCTATCTAGCTTTTAAAGGCCTGGCTGCAATGCTTTGTTTTTTTTTTATCCAGGGAACCTTTGTGGCTCCAGAGAGTAGAAGTCACCTCCCCCACAGCTGCCCTGCCCAAGCCTGCAACCCGGCCCGATCCAACAGCACTGACCACTACACCCGGCATGCTGGGGGTTACTTATGGACGCATGCCTCAGCACTGTGACAAGACTGGGAGCTCAAGGTCTGGCTCTGACACTGACCAACCTGTGGATCTCTTCCAGCACACTGAAGGCACACATGTAGTGAATAGCTGATGGATAAGTGAATGAAAAAAAATGACCAAAAGGGCTCCCTTGAGCACTTTTCCATTCAGTTTTGCCACTGTGTCTTGGGAAATACATTTAGGATTAGAACTCATGACCTCCTGGCGTCCAACCCTGTGGTCACACCACAGTTGTTATTGTTTCCAAGGGTGTCCTTTTCTGTCTTCATCCCATCTTCTTTTCTCATAAAACAGTGTTTTACAAACTGCGGTTCAGGGACCATTTCCAGACTAACAAAATTTATAGAGGCCCTCCTCTGTCCATGACTCTGGGTTTGTCTCCTTGCTAGCAAGCAATTCTGGTGAGGAAGATCTGGGTCAATGATGGTGAATGGATGGAAAGGGATGGAAAATATTTAAGAAATCACCTTAAAGGGATAAAGAGTATAATTTTTACTTGCTTTCTTTAGATTAGATGGGACAGCAAAGAGATCAAAACAGTCAATTCTAAAGGAAATCAACCCTGAATATTTATTTGAAGGACTAATGCTGAAACTGAAGCTC